GCATGCAAGGCTCGTACCCACGCAAGGTCCGAAACGGTGCCCCAATTTCTGGCGGCCAGGCCCAGCAGTCGTGCCCTATGATGCGGACCTTGAGCATGTGTTCTTTAGCTGAGATGTTGCCAGACATGGCTTGTGGAATTCATTTGTGGAACCGCGCGAGGTTCCTCTTTGTCAATCCGAAAGCTGGAGGACAACTAGGGGATGTGGCGCGGCATGCAGACTCTTACTTTACCTGAAAGGCAGCATGCATCACCGCATCACCGCATCTGAAGTTTTTGTCGACTTGCTGAGGTCTTCCTGCAGATTCCCCAACCTTTTGATGTTCGTATTGACCCCACGCGGCGAGCCAGACTGCATGTGTTCAGCAGCCTGGATTGTGAAAGTGAGTTTTGTTAGTTGATCCCGTGCTTTTGGGCGTTTGCCGAAGGGCACCCTCCAGAAATACACCCATTTGTTGTACAGACGTGGCCGAGGCTTGACAGAGGGCAAGTCGGGCAGCTTGGCAAGCATCAACTTTGTGTTCACTCACGCAATATGTAGGTCAATTGCACAGATGCAGGGTTGTAGGATCAAGGGGTGATGCAAGGGAATCCCGCCTTTACATGAAAAACATAATCTTGGGAAAGCCCTCTCTGTTGTATCACGGAAATGGTCTTTCCCCACAGTAGAATTTGGTTTCCCTTGGGTAGCGCTCCACCCGCGCCGAGGAAACAAGCCGGGCTTCCACTTTCTGCGACAGGTGTTGATGAGCTACGCGTGGGTGCGCGTCTTCGTGGGTGGAGGCCCGAAGTTTTTGGTATCTCGGCTCGGCAGCCTTGTGGGCAGAGTTTCAAGGGAATGTCCCACAGACCCCCCAAAGTTCCGGGATACATGTGGGGACGGACCCCTGATTTTGCACATATGTCGTGCGTACATTTTGTTTGCGAGAAATGGTTTGCACACTGTTGCCCGGGTTCCTTCCGTGTCCCACATCAAGTGGCAACTCGACGATCCCCCCCGCCCCCATTTTCAGACACACCAGTGGAAGATTTTGCTCGACTTCGGCGCAGGTGATGGGACTGTCATGTGGGTGGTTTCAGAAGCTCAGAAGCACGGGGTCCACACGGAGACGGGGATACGAATAGGTATGGTGCCCTTGGGCACAGGCGCGATTCGATGTGACGCTTGCGCGATTGCCTTTTCAGCTGTGCAATCAGGCAACGATTTTTCCCAAGCTCTCGGCTGGGGTGGAAGGACCCAGATTCCACGAGGCATTGCTTGGCTGATTGATTCAGCATGCAGGAACCCAGATGCAGATGCGCTGCTGAAGAATGATTGTGCTGGGATGAGGGACCTAATGCAACCAGGCTTTAGTCTTTCAAATGTCCAAACTTGCATGTGGCGGCCTTGGTAAGGCAAGACTGGATCAAAGCAGAGACAGAGCTTCACGACATTTGGCGAATTTCGCTGAAAGTGCCTTGCCAGAGGGAATGTACAAATCAATATACATCTACATATATAAACCCAGAAACGTATGTATAATATATATATATATATAGACATATGGTGACCCCTCATGGAGCTGGGTGTTGCCGCCTTTTAGTGACGATGGTCTTTGAGGATGAAGGGCATTTACACAGCGTTTGAAGTCAAATTCCAGCGCGACCCTGAGATAAGTTGCGCCCTTTTTCAACTCCATGCAAGTTCTAATCAACCAATGTGTCACCTCGATTTCGAAAAGGATTCCTATTTGAGCAGCTCGAGGGTCACATTGTTACGACACAGGTAGTAGGCAAAGTACACTTGGCAGCAAACAATTCTTGAGCATAAAAGCAGTACTCAAAGTACGCTTTGGCAGCTTCAACGTGATTGCAACAGCTCTGCTTGTGGTATTTTGTGCTATTTTGTTTTGGAGAGAATCTCAGCAAACCATCAATTTGGGGGACAGGAACTCGTTTCTAGTTAGATTGTTACTTGTAAAACAATTCCTGGCATATGTTCAATGTTAGCCGATCGCAGTTCCTAGTGGTCGAAACACCAATTGGAGACATCAACTATTGACATCGCCAGTTGAACGTTTGCCGTAAACATCTTCAAGTTGTTTCTTGGATATGGCCATGAGTTTTAATAGGGAATCACCTTAAAAGTGATTGGTGGACACGAATCCCCACCTAAATGATGTCCACCAAAGGGTCCCTTATTTAAATTCATAGCCATATTGCGCTCTTTGTGTGCCCTGCTGATGCTTCAAAAAAAAGCTGAGCCCGGAGAATTGGGACACCAGTCTTTGCCAAGCAAAGTCTACTCAAAATTCAAGATTCACCGATGGTTCACGATAATTTTGACTCTTGAATGTCATTTTCTATCTAAAACCTGGGATCCAAGACTCAAGATCTGCAAATACGTTTCTTTGATTCTTGAATCTTGAATGCTGTTCTTTAACAACTGAAAGTTCTAGTGGTGTATACATATATATATATATATATAATGGCGGCGGGCGGGGTGGGGAGGTACCACATACCATACACCATAGAGCATGTATATATATATATATTTCTGTACACATATACGTAAACACAAACGGATATATATATATATATATACATACATTCAAACCCATCCCTTTTCATGTTTTGCGGGACGTTCAACGAAAGGCATACCGCGAAGGAAAAAAATGAAAGGTCACCAGCAAGGAGCTCGATTGCGTCTTGGCTGTTTCTGTTCCTGCACGCCCTGCGACCCGAGCACGCAGCGCTCAATCTCCCACTACACAAACAGGAAGCATTCACCGTTGCGGCAGCTGCATCACTACTCATCGCACCCACACGCACGCAGCCGCTTAGCTGTCTTCTTATGTCCCTCCTGTGGCAAGAACATGAACAAACAGAGTCAAGCAACATGTCCATTGTGTCTTTCGGGAGCCTTCAAAAAAAGACACCATCCAAAGTTAAGGGCACACGCGCAAGCCATCACAAGAGAGGAGTTGATTGTATCAGCTGCGTCGCTGCTCATCACGGCAGCGCCAGCTGCCTTCTTATGATAAGAGAAAGAAGCCAGCCAGGAGCTTGATGCCGTCTTTTTGGAGCTGTCACGCGGCAGTGGCATGAAGAAACGCAACAGATCTTTTGTGGGATGGTCCCCTGCGGCAAGAACATAAGCAAATGAGGTCCAACGACATTGACCATGTCCCTGCTATTTTCAATGACAATAGGGAAAGCAACTTGCAGGCAGGAACTCCTGTGCAAGTCCTTGTAGAGTATCTGATTAGTCTTCTTATCCGGGTTTGACTTACTTGACTTACTAGCCTTCTTACCCCTGCGGGGAGTGTCAGTTGTCCAGTGGGCCAAAAGCAATATTCGAAGCGAGACAGCCAGGAGCCCGCCCATTTGTGGAAATCCTGTACTACTTTTGGGACCTGCCTGGCTATTTTTTTCATGTGACGTGACAGGATGTGACGTGACGTGACGCAATGCAATGGAAGGTAAGGCAAGGTAATGTAATGTAATGCCATGCCATGCAATGTAAAGTGCTGTAATGTATGCCGTGCTGTGCTGTCGCGACTGTAGTGGAATGTAGTGCAACGTAATGTACTGTAGCGTAATATAGCGAAATTTATGTGTGCACGCATGTTCTGGACACTGCTCCTCGCTTCCAACTTGTACAAGCAGCCGGAAAGCAAAGCTGAATTGCGGGGCTATCAAACCATAGCCGGAGTATAGAATATGACAGTTGCTGCTCAATGCCACGTAAGTACTTACATCTCAGGAACGTGGAAATGATATTTCAACACAATACATAAACATGCTTAACGTGAGAGAGTGCTTGATCTCTATCCGTAGGTGGATGAAGAGGACGGTTTCCTCTACAACAAGGACCTGGGTTGATCAAGACTTGTGCTTGAACAGCTAACTCCCAGTCCCCTTCAAAGACAACCCAAAGGAGGTTGTTTAAACAAAAATTAAATCTTTAACCCCTCCGGCTCAGCCCGCCGACATTACAGGCCTGCATTGTTGTATGTGTTGTACAAGAACTGCGCGTATGATTTTTTCTTAACTGGGGATGCCTGGCTTTTGTTGGCAACTTCCTCGGGCACTTGGGAAAGGTGCTTACAAGACACAAGCGGGGACCTTTCGTTTGATCCTGCTTGCTCCTGCTTTCCGGGATTTTCCCCTGCCTGCAGGTTTTTGTTTGGAACGCCCTCAGTCATTTTCCCTAGCTGGGGATACCTGTAGGTTTTTGCTCTCGGTCACTTGGGAAAGGACTTGGGAACATCAACCCCCCCTTGTCAAGAGTATTTGAGCGTTGAGGTTTCCGAAGTTTGTGGCAAGATCCCCAGCAAGACTTCAGGCACATCCACATGCTAACGTAGATTTTTGCCCGAGCAGCCCCCCTGTACCGCGCTTTGGGTTTGGAGGTTCCCCACTGCCTACAGTTTAGGTTTGGGCTCCTGCACGGGCGGGCAACTAGATGCACGAACATGTGAGTCCCCCAGCCCACGAGGACACGGTACTGACTGATGCTGATGGATCGGAGCAGAAGTCTTTGGATTCTCACATGTTGCTCTACTGCGGCCGGCCCAGTTTTCAGACTCGTTTTTGGGCATTGGTGGTATTGGAGTCTCACAGGTGGAATCGCAAAGGACGCCGAGCTCGCTTACAATGCCGCTTGGAGACCTTTTATATGCCAACACTATATTTTGTTGCCTGCCTTTTTCTAGAGTGCTTCATTTTTGGCTTCAGGTGCTCACAGCTTGCACGGTTCATTTCAGCTGGCAAAGCCAGGTCGAGCTTCGCCGTACAAAAAGTCAATGCTTGAACAAGCTGGTCTACATTTGGCAAGGCCTCCAAGTGATCTTGCGAGTCGGTTCACCCTTCGCTTCCCGAATCTCTTGACATTCGCGTTTCTGGCTGGCCCGGCCATGTATCAGACAAGGCTCTAGGACACATACACATGGTCAGCCCCCCCATGATCTCCCTTTTGCATTTTCAATGCCAGGCCATGGCTTTTACGAGTTGTTGCCTGATGTTCAAGATACAAAATCATGAAAATGTATGTGCAGAACCTTTGACCGGATTCTGGTCGCATTCCACTTCCAGTTGGGTATGCTTGAAAAGTACGCGTTTTTATCAGTGTTTCCTCGCGTTTCACTGTTGCGCAACACTAACTTTGTTGCACTTTCAATAGACATGTACAATAATTTGGCCATGTTCGCTATATTGACTTTGCTCTTGCAGAAGCTTGCAACTACATTTGTTAGGAACACTGCGGCCTACGATGCAAATCAAACAATTTCGGTTTTTCTTCTTTCCGCCCTTGGGTCCGGTGCGATGTTCACTGTGCAAAGTGAAGGACCGATCGCCAGGAGCAATGATCTCCTTGCATTTCTTCTGTTGCGTTGGACAGCGAGTTCAGAGAGTGCTTCGAGGCAAGGGCGTAGCGGCTTCGGACAATCTCCAGCGCGTGGCAACCCAAAAAACATCTGAAATGGTGTTGCTCCTCTTTTTTTGATGGTACCCCTTTTGGTGGTTTTAAATGGAAGAGGAAAACAAACATTTTTGAGGTACCACCAAAAAGGACAAGCCCAAATGGTGTTGCTCCAGATCCCTTTTCAGGCAAACAGCGGATTTCCAAGAAAGCACACATCCACGGAAGGGCATGCCTCAGTGAGCGATGGGTTGGGTGGGTGGCGCTCGGCAGTGCGAAAAAAAACAGCTTGCCCGGCACGCGAAACCCGGCCGTCGCAGGCCTTTACCATGGCACGAGCCGAAAGGCAGGCGCTTTTTGGTGCTGTCCCACTGAGGGGCCTCTGGTTTGACTCAGACCCATTCTAGGGGACACTTCCCCATTCTTTCCAGGGATGCTTCTTTTCAGAAAAGAATGATGGTTGAAAAGAATGGGGAATGAAGCCCTAGACATACCCATGCGTGACTTCATGTTCTTTGCCAAGGGGGAGCCAATCTTCGAGGTTGGTGTGCGCAGCAAGGGGCCCAGGCCGGAGGTTCTGGGAATATCTCAAGCGATGAGTTGCGTGCCAGGTTATATAGCAATCCAGTGCCGCCCTCAAACGGCTTCGCGCCACGCTTCGCCGTCGCTTTGAGCGCTTTGAATGATCAGCGCCCACCCCGGAAAAAGAACATTCTGGTAGGTGGTTCGGCTCCTACCTGGGTTCATGGGGTTTATAGTAAGGCCTATATTATTCTTTACAACCATCTCAGTAGAGCCAAACGTGAGTGGGTTGTTTTGGGCGCTGCTCACCTGCTGAGGAGATGCCGCTTTCTTGCACATAGTTTCAGCAAACCCAGAAAGACCGACGCAGCTTTTGCCACCAGGCTGCTCTGCCTCAACATCAACTCGTATGGCGGCGGCGTGGCGCGTAATCTCTGGAACAACTCCTGGCGAAATGGCACCTTGTGCACTGAATTGCTCACATCGGAGCCACCCAAAGATTCGCTTGGAACGACTCACATGTTCCAGTTGGGTTCCTCATGCCATTTGGTGGTCATTTCCCGGTTGCGCAGGCACCTCGCAGCCTCTCATGGACGACTTGCTGGAGCTGGACCAAGACCCGGGAGACAAGCAGCTGGAGGTGATGACACTTTCCAGGACGGATTGGATGCAGCGCAAAAAAACATACCAGCACACTGGTCGCCGAGCAAACAAAGGTTGATGTGTGTCCAGTGTTTCTAGATATTTCAAGATCTTACAACTTTGCAGTCATTCATCCACAACAGTGTGATCAGAGTTCAACTTTGAGCGAGGCTGCTGCGCGTGCGTCGCTGAGCATGTGAAGTGGATAGTTTGAGAGGGTGAAGGGTTCGGGCCAGAAAAGCGGGCTCAGGCGGCCATGCCAACCAACTCAGTGCTTGCATCTGGGCAGAATTGGCGAATCGTTGATTTGGCTGTGGCTCAAACGTAGGCTAGTTTTTGAACAAATCAACAAAAGCTACAGTCCCTGCATCCGTAATCTTAGGCACACCCATGGTTGTTCTTTAGCTTACACTGAGTCTTTGACTGGTCCAGAAAGGACATCAGCTGAGGGCGGCCGTCGGGTTTTCCAGGGTGCACCCCTGCATTTCGAGTTCAAGCAGCGAAATTATCGTCTTGATCTCAGCTTACTTGTGCATGGCCCACGCAGCACGGAAAGGACAGGTCGGTCCAAACACCAGTAGTCCATGGTATGGGGACTCACCGAATTTCTGCAAAGTCAGGGAATTTTCCCATGTCTGTTGGGGGGAACATGACTGTGGCTTTGCAGCCTTAGGTGACTTGATCACCTTTTTCCAGGTGGATGGCGAGACTTGGATGCATGTGGACCAGTGTGTTCACTTGCAGCTGCCCGCACGGAGGAAAGCTACAAGCTTCAAAATCCGGTCTCTCTGACTATCGAGCAACTTGCCATGTCAGACTCAGTTTCACAAGCTGGCCTTTCATATTCAACTGTTGCACTCTCATCAAGAATGCAAGCATCTGCAGAACAACACACTGTACTTGTTTGCCATGGACGATGATTGCTGCCAGGCACAACCAGCAAATTTGTGTCCTGTGCAAGGTGGGGGTTGGGGGAAGGTCATGTGGATTAGGAGGTCAGCTTCGTTTGTACCTCCAAACCAACCTGGCAGGTAGATAGCCGCCGAATCTTGCCAGCAGCAGTCATGGCAGTCTCCCTTTTTTTGGCTAGCGCCTGTCTTTCCAAGTGACCCTTAATTGGTGGCTTGGATAGGGCGGTTTGGGGAGTATCCCCCTAGTTCCTGTCCAAATGGGAAGACACCTAGACTACCTATCCAAGCCACCAATCGGGGCCCCGGTGGTGAGTCTCGGTCATCTCAGGGACAGGATGCTGTGGAAATGTTTGTGGCTTCGAATCAGCCTCGTCGGGCTCAACCTCAGATCCTGATGTCATCCGGCAGAATTTTGTGACGCAAAATTGACCAAATGGATGCTCACAACTGAGGTATGACATCCAATTGTTTATGCAACCCAGGTTTCACCATGAGTGAGCAATGATGTTTTGTGGGACTTTAATTGTAGCATTCAGAAAGTGCCAGTCATCAGATGATGCATCAGCGCTGAAGCGGTGTCAGCTGGAGCATCTAGCGAAACACACCGTGTCGAAAAGGGGCAATTTGAATATCCTGGGCTGGATTGGAACCGACATTCGAATTGGGGTCGAATTGTTTCCAATCAGCCAATGAGCACTGGCCAATTGGCACAATGATTCATTATTCAATTTCATTATTTAACTAATCATTTGTTTTTCAATATTTTTTTTTTTTTTTTTTTTTTTTTTTTTTTTAAATTAATTTGTTTAATATATAGAATACGATATAATTTTTTGAATCAAATAAAACATAAAATAATATATAAATATACTATTTAATATAATTAAATATATAAATATGTATTTATTATATGATTTAGTGTGTAAGATTTGGATTGGGATAAAAAATACAGGTTTATTTTTGGTGTTTTTTATATGATTTTTATTTTTTGATGTTTTTTTGGAATTATGGTAGATTATTTTTATGAATTATTGGGGGAATATAATGGGTTATTGATTTTTGTTATATATTGGATATATTTTTGATGAATTAAAATTATTATCTTTTTGTTTTTTATATTGTAAATATTGGATGAATTTGGAACATATATATGGGAATAGGGGTGATAAAATTATTATTTTCCATTTAATTAATTGCTTTTCTTATTATAATTTATTATTTAATTAACATTTAATAAATAATAAATACTATTAAATTTTAATAATTATTATTATTTAAATTATTGAAGGATAGACAGACAACGAGATAAAGAGAAAAAGAAAAAGAAGGACAAATTAAACAACAAAAGGGATAGAAAAAAGTAGAGAAAGAAAGAAGGAAGGAAAGGAGAAATAAAAAAGGAGAAATAAAAAATACAGAAATAGAGAAATAGAAAAAACATAACACATAAATAAATAGAGAAATAAAGAAACAAGAAGAAAAGGGGAAAACCAAGGATAAAGGAAAGAACAATATCATGAAATTCTTGATAAATTTCGATATGGATAGGTTACAAATGTCCCAATAATTGTTCGGCAAACCATTAAATTTTGTAGAATTTTGTGGGGGATAACGTCTGGAGTTTAAAGAGTCGGGTCGTTGGAAGCGACCCAAAATTTGAGAAACGCTAACTAGATTATGCCATGAGAATTCTGAACGGACATTTCAAAATTTCGGGGATTTCCGGGCCGTACTAAGAGGCAGGAATTTGTACCGCGGAGAAAAGACCGGGATGAGGTTCTGCGATTCACGAGAAATACGATCCCGAGGCTATACCGGTTTATAGAATTTTTTTTATATAATTATAGAAACATATATATATATATATAAAATATAAATATATAAATATATAAATATTAATATATATTTATTAAATATATTATTATGATCTATTTAATTGATCTCTGTCTCTGCTTCTCCGTGTTTCTATGTTTTTCTATCTCTATATTTCTCTATATCTCTTTTTTTTTTTAATAAATCGAATGATATTTAGACGAAATTTCGGGGAATTCTTCAAATTTTCACTTGGAATTTTGAGGGCATGATCTAGATATATATATATATATTGGAATAGATTTCTATATCGAAATTTCTTAAGCACATTATGCAATTTCTCTTTCCTCTGTGCCTTTTGCTTTCTTTCTTTCTTTTTTCTCTCTTATCTTTTTATTTCTCTATTCCTCTTTCTTTATTTCTCCTTTGTTTTGGTTCTTTCTTTCTTTATATTTCTTTCTTTTTTCTATCCTTCTTTGTTTTTCTTTATATTCGTAATTCTCTATGTTTTTGTTTATATTCGTAATTCTCTATATTTTTGATTCTTTTTCGGAATCGTATTTTTCGGTCACCACAAAGCCGTTACAGCGGCGAGCGAATATACTCGTCTCGGTCTTTTCTCCACGGCAAAAAATCTTGCTTCTTAGCGCGATCCGGACGTCCCCGAATTTTTGCCGAAATTCTTGGGGGCTTTTTCAGATCTTCTTTTGGAATTTCTATAATATGATTTACACAAATTTTCCATAATATATATTTCATAATCAATTAATTTATATTTCTTAAACATATTTATATAAATATATAATATTTCTAGAATTAATCAATTCATTACCTCAACATCCAATATATAAAAAAATTTTTAAATTCCTAATGTAAAAAATATCATTTCACCAATTATATATTTATTTATTATATATAATTATTTATATTTTAAATAATATATCTACATGTTTAAAGCCAAATACATTTTATTATATATAATAATTATCTAAAATTCCTTCTTCCGAAAATCACCATTTTCGCGAAAAAAAAAACGAAAAAAATTCGCGGACCCCATCGCGGAACTTTCACGGGGCTACTTTCAAAACATTCATCACACAAATAATACACGAAATATGCTTTCACAACCCCAATTCGAAAGCCGAAGCTTATCAATACAAAAAATAGAAAAACAAAACATTCCGCAACCCGGCTTAAATGTCGCAACTTTTCAATACAAACATAATTACATAAACTAAATTTCCACAATCTCAAAAATCAAAGCTTTCTAGAAAATCATAACCTTTCAATTCCAAAATAACACACGAAGCACGTTTCCACAACTCCAACTCACAACATTACCTATATACAAAAAAATCCGTTCACCTCATATCCGGCAACGAAGAAATCCATCGACTTTCACGAAATTTTAGTAAATCTTACACCAAACATTCGTAAAAATCCGGCTAAAAATTACACTCAACTTAACCCAAAAACTTCAAAACTCCCACAAATCGGTTTCTATAGAACTATTTTTACAACAACACATTTATACCAACCTCAAAATACGTATTCCCCGACCCATTTTAGCCTACGAACATTCTCCCGCTTTACCGGTAAATACACAAAATTCATCATTCCAATTTCCTATTAACAAGCCACCCTTATACAAAACTTTCGTGAATAATTTTTAATTTTCACAACCCCCTTCGCAAAATTTTCACGAAAATCAACGCCAAGACCAAAGGGTCTTCCCCTTCATAGCTCCATACAAGAGCCTTTCGGACGACTCTCATATATATATATATATTTACTCTATAAAACGAAACCGTGAAACTTGCTCGTCGCACTTGCGCGCGTTTTCCCGGACCGCTTTTCCGAAAAATCCCGGATATTTCGGAAAATTGGTCCGGACTGCCCCGGGAAGATGTAACCGCTTCATAATTCCTACGGATCGCTCGCCCAAATCTGTCCGGGCTACCCCGGCATATGTGCGGAAGACACAGTGGCTTCATTTTTTGTAGGGACCAATTTCCCGAAATATTCCAGATATTTCGGGAAAGCGGTCCGGGAATCGCAGCCACCCACCATTTTCTTAAAATATTCTGAATATTTTAAGAGCCATTTTCCCGAAATATTCCAAATATTTCGGGAAATGCCATCGTCGAAATATCCGGAATATTTCGGAAAAATGGTCTGGAGTGCGACTATCGAAATATCCGGGATATTTCGGAAAAATGGTCCGGACTTTGAACGAAGTCGTTGTGTCTTCTAGATCAAGAGTCTAGGCATATATCTTCCCATCCGTAGCCGTTGAACGAAGCCGTTGTGTCTTCCAGATAAAGAGTCGGGGCATATATCTGCCTGTCCGTAGCAATTTTGGCTGAAATCTTGGCCCATCTTCCGAGAGTTTGGCGATGCGATAAGCAGTCCTGCAACCACCTCCTGGCCGCGGGAGCGGCGGGGCAGCGCCGAGACAAGCGCGTGATAAACCGTTTTGCACTGGCTCGCTCCACAGGGCGAGGGCGACAGGGGACAAGCGGCCAGCCGCCGCGTGCAACTGGGGCACGCGCAGCCAAGAGCTCACACGCGCGTTCTTGCAGCCCGTCTGCATCACGGCTCTCGGGCTCGGAGTCGGACGCGTGCACGTGCGCAGGCGAAGCCTGTGGCATGTCGACATCAGAATCCGGCGCGCTGCGCGCCGGAGTGTCGGTGTCTTTCCCTGTCTCTCTTTGTCTGTTGGTCTGTCTGTCTCTGGTATCTGTTTCTTTGTCTGTCTGTCTGTCTGTCTGTCTGTGTCTGTCTGTCTGTGTCTGTCTGTCTGTCTGTCTGTGTCTGTCTTTGTCTGTGTCTGTGTCTGTGTCTGTGTCTGTGTCTGTGGCTGTTTGTGTCTGTGTCTCTGTGTCTCTGTGTCTCTGTGTCTTTGTGTCTCTGTGTCTCTGTGTCTGTCTGTTTGTGTCCGTCTGTCTGTCTGTCTGTCTGTCTGTCTGTCTGTCTGTCTGTCTGCGTGTCTGCGTGTCTGTGTGTCTGTGTGTCTGTGTGTCTGTGTGTCTGTGTGTCTGTGTGTCTGTGTGTCTGTGTGTCTGTGTGTCTGTGTGTCTGTGTGTCTGTGTGTCTGTGTGTCTCTGTGTGTCTCTGTGTGTCTGTGTGTCTGTGTGTCTGTGTGTCTGTGTGTCTGTGTGTCTGTGTGTCTGTGTGTCTGTGTGTCTGTGTGTCTGTGTGTCTGTGTGTCTGTGTGTCTGTGTGTCTGCGTCTGTGTCTGCGTGTCTGTGTCTGTGTCTGTGTGTCTGTGTCTGTGTGTCTGTGTGTCTGTGTTTGTGTTTGTATCTGTGTCTGTTTTTGTCTTTGTCTTTGTCTGTGTTTTCGTCTCTGTTTGTTTGTTCTGTTTGTTTGTTTGTCTGTTTGTTTGTTTGTGTGTGCTGCGCGCCGAAGGTGTGTCTCTTTTTGTCTCTGTTTCTTTGTCGGTGTCTTGTTTTGTGTCTCTTTGTTTGTTGGTTTTGTTTTTGTATTTTTGGTATCTGTTTCTTTGTTTGTTTGTTTTTGTTTGTTTGTTTGTTTTTGTGTTTGTCTGTTTGTATCTGTTTGTGTTTGTGTTTGTCTGTGTTTGTATTTGTGTTTGTGTGTTTGTGTTTTTGTGTTGTTGTGTTTTTGTGTCTCTGTGTTTTTGTGTTTTTGTGTTTTTGTGTTTTTGTGACTTTGTTTGTTTTGGTTGAGAGATTTATAAAGGAATGGAATGGTTTACTTTAGAATTGATTTTTTTTTTCCTCCGAGATTTTTTTTAGTTTAGGCTTAAAAAAGGGTGTTATAAATGGGTATTTAAGTGATAAGATATTTAGGTTAATGATAAGATGTTAAAGTTAGTTGATTTCGGTTTAGTTTAAGAAAATCGAATATATAATTTTTTAGATTAATTAAAATCGCATTAATATAGCTTGCTATAAAACGAATATAAATTAAAAAAATAATTTATTTATATATATTATTATTATTTTGGTTAAAATATTGCATTATAATATTTATATATAAAAATAGATTTTTTAAAATATAATAGTATATTAGGTATTTAAAAAAAATATTATTACTTTGTGTATTATAATACACTAAAAAATTTACTTAGGTATTGTTAAAAAGTTCTATTAGATATTTGGGCTTCTGAAATTAAGTCTTTAATTTAATATAATATATAATTTTTTCGAAATATTTTATTTAAGTAAGAATTAAAGCAAATATTCAAAATCATAATTATACATTTACTCGAAATATTCCAAAACCGCGTTTTGTTAAATATTTATTCGATTTATCTATTCCTGTTTCTATGAGTAATACATATCTATTTATAATTATTTAAATTAAATTAATTTTTTATTCCATAATTCTATTATTCTCTTATTATAAGCTTCATTTCGCACACTACTAAAAAGCAACGGGCCCCCGCTAGTATATATATATATATTAATAATATTTACAAAAAATACAATAAATTTCCAATATATTTAACAAATAACAATTATTTTTTCCTACCAACTAAAAATACGAGAGCGGATTTAAGATTATTCAACCGCTTCTCTGTGAAACCCTGTAAGCTAAACAAGCAAAAAGAATCATTTCTACAATTAATAATTAATGATATGAAACGAAAAGCAAATGCCATTCTCCCACCTCACTCCTCTCCGTCGTAAGCTTCCCAAATGAATATCAGCGGTTAGACCGCGGTGGAAGAGGAAAGGAAGCACTTGGTTGGGTTGGTGATAGACGTATTCTGCAGATGATTGATCTTTCAAAATCAATGCTTCGTTTCAAACAGTCCAATCAGTATCTTAAGATCAAATCAATTTTCAAAGAAACGCGTTCAGCATTTCACGGCTTCGATTTTGGCCTCTGCGAGGTGGTGAATCCTAGCAATAATGTGAGGCTTGATTCACATGACAACCTTATTGCCACCAAACTTTGTCAAAGCAGAATGGCTGCTCCTTGCACGTGTAGAGCACCAATGCAAGTGGCATTCGCGATTCTTCGGCAGTGATGTAGTAGACCTGCAATGATGTTCTGGCAAATCCAGACATCATACTGCAAACTTTACAACTGCCGCCTTGCGTTTGTCACCCCACGGCATTGATTTGACCATGTCAATCATTCCTGGGGCAATGCGACCTAAGGATGCCGGCCAGCACGTGCCGAAATTGCGTGACAGCAACCAGCTAAGACTAGCACCAAAGCTCCAGTTGTATCCCACTCCAAGGCAAACATTTCGGTCGAGGCCCATCAACTTAGAGTGGCATACGGCATTGCCGCACATGCATTTGACTTTTGCATGCTTCCATACCCACTCTTGTTCACTGATTAGCTCTGGACCTTTCTGCCGATATTCCTCGCTGCCTCGCAGGCCAGAGTATGGATCCCCACGCTGAAGGCAACGGCTCTCCCTTTCATGGGCCGCACTTTCCATGAGTCAAGCGTGCCACAGGGCTCTAACCGTCGAGCGCCAGGCCCCCTTCATTCTGTCTTTCCAGCCCTTTGGAGGCGGCGTGGACTTGATGTCGAAGACGCGGGGTTTCAGGCAGATCTCAGGCAGACTCTTCGAATTTTGGATTTGTGTTGGCATTTGCAGGGAAAAGGAACCAACCACCTCAAGGATTTGGTCCCAGATTTTGAGCCGCACCTTTTGGCAACCCCGAAACATGGGAGCCTCATCGCTGCCTCCGCAATCGCCACAAGTATCCTGCACCGGTGTTCCATCCGCTTCTCGCGCAGAGAATCCCATGTGGGTTTGGGCGCGCCTTGATGAAGCCCAGCCCAGACTCCATGTCATAGGCATAGTTGTGGTGCTCGGCCTCTTCCGTGGCTAACCGGTACCCAAAACGGAACCCTAAGTGGCAACCAAAGCCTAAAACCTGAACCCCGGCTCTGGAAAACTTTGACCCATTTCCGCCGCTTTGAATCCTTCAGTCTCCCGCCTTCAGCGCTTGGCAAATGTACGCCTGACTTCCCGTTCTCTTAAGTTTCGGGGGAAACCAACCAAGAAACACCCCGTCTGGCAGGGTGCAAATCCCTTTGACGAATACCCACCTCTTTGTAGCCTTTCCGCAATCCGAGAGCCACGAGCATCTTGAAGATGGTCTTCAGAGGGCCTGCCGAATCTCTCTTGAGACGTGGCTGACTTTTCGGAGTTGGTTTCATGCCTGGGGTGCAAAAAGGGACATCAAAAGTTGACGGGTAAAAAACCACAAGAAAGGTAGCAGCCTCTTTCGTCGTCCGGGTGCATGAGCTGTGAACGGCAGCATTCTGCCCACTCTCCGGTATCAATCTGAGCGAGCTCATTGTGGCCACGCGCAAGGTGTTGTCTAAAATAAGGGAACCCACAACATTGTTGGTCCCCCCCCCAAAAGAAAGGAGGACACAGGTTCCTTTTGGCTTCCTTTTGAACAACCAACAGGGGTTGTCCCCCCCCCCCGCAGAGACACGCCCATTAACTTATTTGCGTGCACTCTGATGAAATCTCTGCCCGCAAGCAATTGGGGACCCTGCCCCATGAATGTAGTCAGGATGTGAACAAGGAGCGCGCTGCAGGGACATGCAATCATGTGAAATGCATGGCGCATGATTCATTTTGATCACTGCCTTTGATCAAGTTTCCCCATCGGCCTCGGGCCCCTTGTCAGTTACCTGGAAGCACAACACGGAGTCAGTCTTTGTGCAACTCGTGAGTGAGGCGAGCACTCGGCGATTTCTCCACAACTCATAGATCTGCGCAGCACTGGTGCATGTGAACAAGCATGTTGAGCTTGCCAGGGTCTGATGTGTTCACAATAGAGACCCCTCCCCATGTCCTCCCCAGTTAAGCAACAACCAGCAAGAATGCTACCAGTTTCCCCGATAAGTCATGCTCAGACCTGGAACCAAAGGAGTCTAAGTACCCAAACGCATGTATTCCGCACCAATTTTTGGTTGGGACTCTGTCCTAGTGACCCCGGATAAGCCTACCTCAGAAAAACCCAGGTTTTGGCAGTGGCTCTTGTAGCGCTGGCCTTTGTGCAGCCTTCTGCATGGCCATCAGTGAACTCCTCTCAACCATTCACGGGCACGGGTCCTATGTTCGAAAGTACGACTAGGACATGGGACAATTCGTTGGGGCTGGGAGACTTGGCGAGTCATGTCCAGAACCCCAAAACCATCATTCATATCAGGACATTTTAGCCAAACCTAAGCACAACTTCTGCAAATCGTGGCGCTCGGGACTGGAGCTAAGTGAGCTACTCTGAGCCTGAGTACAAGTTGTGTCTTCCTTGATGGACAATTGTACTGGTTTGCTCCAGGGTTCTCCTGATCTTTCTCCTAAAGGCCTCACCCCTTCATCACAATAGTGGTCCCCTCAAATGGTTGGTTTCGGAACCCTATGGGCCAACCCCCTTAACGGAGCCGGCTCCAGCGACCCAGCTTCGTGTGTACAATCCACGTAGAAGGACGTCACCTCCGTGCGGGCGTGTGGCAAACAAGTCGTAGAGGACACTGCCATGGGTCAGAACCTATGCCTCCATTTTGGAGCGGATGAACACCCGTGTACCACCTATGTTGATGTTCACCAGGGGTACAGGGTTTTCACCCACAGCCACACCTGTCAGAGGTCCAACCTCCCCTGCCTGCGGCATGGGCATGGTTCGCGCGCCATGTGCCACGCCAGTCCCGATGCCAATTTCTGCACACCCTTCTTGCCGGTGGCTTTCCACATCAGACAGCTTTCTTCTGGCGTGGACAGTTGCGAAGCTACGCCCCCCCAAAAGCCGTGAACCAATCAAACATCGAGGTGAACCGGGTATGTGGTGTCAGAGGGCTTCCTTTGAACCAACCAAAAAAAAACAACTAAGGGCACCAGCTCATGCGTCGGGCCTACACAGCTCCAGCTGAATGCGCTAAGCTCAGACCAGCTTGTTTGAAATGCGAACAGCATTCAAACAAAATTACCGCACCTGTTTCCTCAGGAGATGGGAATTTGGGGCCCACTTTGTCTTAGCTCCTGGTATTTCTGGTTGAACTTTGGGTCCCGGCACCCCTTCTGCTCAAACGAACTCTCGACCAGAAATTGACCACTTGCTCTACACGGTTCGATGCACCACTTTTGCACGCCAGTCTGGCCACCTGAATTCTTGCAAGGCCATGAGCTTTCAGGCCGCTCTGCGGCATGAAAGCGGACGTGATTTCTCAACTGGGAGTGTTGAGAGGCAGTCATATTCCTGCACTACGAAAACAGATGCACTCTGCGCTTTCGGTAGCATTCCATAACCGGCCGCATATCACTCGAAATGAGAAACTTACCACTTGCTCGGCAGCGCGCATCGCTTCATTAACACGCATCACATATCGAAGAGGATGCACTCTCTGATGGAGTCCCCTGCCTCAGTTGGACTCGGGAGACTCAACGCACAATAAAAAGGTCACTGGATATCACCTGTTGTTGAGAGAGGGGGCGCAATCACCTGTTGTGAAGTGGTATTTTTTGTGAAGTTGATGATGTTGGTAAAACCCACTCCAACAAAAATCACCTGTTGTAATGTATGGGTGGATTCCAATCAAACTGCATTTTTTTGGAGAGGGACATCGGACTCCGGCCCTGCCTGCGGCCTGCAGTGTCTCCAAGGGCATTCTCGCCCTGCTTTGCAGGTGGAACGCTTTGCCCACTCGGCCTTCAGCTTGGCATGCAAACTGGGCATCGCATAGTCAGCTGTGATTTGGCCCCGCATTTTGACGGGGACCCTTTGGTGGACATCGTTTAGGTGGGGATTCATGTCCACCAACCACTTTTGAGGTGGTTCCCTATTTCAAAAAAATCATAGCCATTTCAGGATTGATGTTTCCGTTGAAAGGTCTGAGGAGCTTGCACATACCGGTCGTGCATCATCTATGTTCGCATCGCCTGCAGTTGCCCGGCACCCAATCTCTCGCAATTGACAACGAAGGTGTGCAAGCCGTGATAGAACTTCCTTGTGCAACAGAGCATGTGTGCCATGGTCAAACTTCATAAGGTCATTGCCGCTTAATAGGAATGCTTACCATTCTTGTCTACAATACCTATTTCGGCGTTGATTGCCATCCCTTCGAGTGCTTGGCAAGCTAAGGAACCGGTCTTTTGACCATGGCACATGATAGCAAGGAAACTCTGAGAGACAAGCCCAACAAATCTTTGGGAGGGAGCACATCGACGCCCATATCACCTGCAACGCAATCACGTGAGCTGAATCCATCTGCCTGAACTGCACAATCTTTCACTGCGTGATCAAATAAGCAACACGCTTGTAGAATAATGATTTTCTTGGCCTACATCATTCAAAGGATGAAGCATATAAGGCATTAGATTGCCGACATTGAGCATGTATCTGAAGGGCCTCCCATGTTGGCCCCTTCATTGAAGGTGTAGGAGTCTCCTCCAGGCGAGCAATGTTGGCCAACTCAGGTGCACTTCGAGCAATGTGCCTGGTCCAAAGCACCAAACCAGCTGGGTTGGCCCCTCTCGTATTCAAGCTATAGCTATTCAAGCCATCCCCTTTTTGGCTTAGACCAGGCACATGCCTCCGCCGCGCGGCCGCGCGCCTGTGATATGCCAAACTGCTCGATGCTGACCCTTGGGCAGCAGCTTGACACCTGAGGAATGCAAGGCCGTGCTGGCCAAGTTGCTTCAATTCATAAAGGGGCCCCGGAAAAATAACCTTTTCTTTAAACTAAAACACACACACACACACACACACACACACACACACACACACACACACACACACACACACACACACACACACACACACACACACACACACACACACACACACACACACACACACACACACACACACACACACACACACACACACACACACACACACAACACACACACACACACACACACACACACACACACACACACACACACACACACACACACACACACACACACACACACTCACACACCCACACACACACACACACACACACACACACACACACACACACACACACACACACACACACACACACACACACACACACACACACACACACACACACACACACACACACACACACACACACACA